GGGGGGGGGGGGGAATTAAAAATGAAGAGAAGGCGGAAAAATTTTGCTTTAAATTTGATATTGCGCTTCATTTTTATTCATTTTTTATTTTTGCCACATCAGCTTTTGGGGTGATATTAAATTCACTATAAAGGGTGGTAATAGCACGTGTAAAGGTTAAGTGTAAAATTGATTTTTTCAAGCAAGTACAAGGTGTATCTTATGTATTTTCCCTTTAAATAATCGACCCAAAACTTGCATGGAACTGAAACGTAATAGTTGTTATTATAACAATCGCTCGTATAATTTCATATATCATCAAAGATTTTTAGTACCATATTGTTGATTATCATATACAACTTACTCGATCACGCACTAATATGATCACAAAAAGAATAGCTAAAAATAGATCATTCAATCTCAACGATCCAGTCCCTTTCATCGGCGATAACACCTCTTTGAATCCCTACTAATCTCGAATAAAATTGCTTGCACGTTAGGTCTGAGCTTATTTTATATTCAATCCTGCACCAGCAAAAACACAACTATTAAATCTTTCAATAAATATTGAGAAGGAACGTGAAAAAAGATGGCAATCACAAGTAGCAATATAATATCGAACACCATTTGATCGTTTTATATCTGAGCTAAAAAATGCCAAGAAATCCGAGAAAACAATCTTTGGCGCTGACTAAACATCATTGATCTTTTTCGTCAAAGGGAGGCCTTTTTATTTTTATCTATTGGAATGCATATTGTTTTTTTGGTTAAAATTCACAAATTGCCACTTTTTAATCCGTACAGTTGAAAAATAGTCATTGTCATGGAATTTCGGATTTGGCAGGTGAAACTTCAGGACATTATCATGAAGTTTCACATGTGAAATTTGAAACTCCATGTATGACATTTAATTATAAGACAGAAAAGTGGTTAGTCCGCGCTATTACTAGCGATTTGTTAATGAAGAATTTTACCTTTGGCCTTTGTAAGTAATACTTCCAACAGGAGCAACACCAACTGCAGTTCCCGTACAGAAAACCTCATCAGCAGTAATCAATTCATCAGCTTCAATTAAACGTTCTTCAACCTTGTAACCTAGATCAAGTGCAATCTCCATAATGCTTTTTCGTGTCACTCCTTCAAGAATAGTTCCTTTGGCTATTGGAGTTGAAACTACATTTCCCTTAACAAGGAAAATATTACATGAGGAAACCTCTTCAATATATTTCTTAGTTACTGCGTCAAGATATAGTACATCTGAATATCCCTTCTCCTTTGCATTCTTCATCGCTTTTAAAACCTACATTAATAATCCATACAAATTTAATTTGAGTAGTTATTTACATCTACAATTTTAACATCATAATTAGTAAATACTCCTATATATATTGATATATATCCAAGAAAAAGAAGGGATGTATATTTACAGGAGCATAATTAGTAATGCTTTTGACTCCACCAGCTCCACCACGTGAGGCACGATGAACGTCTTCCTCTACATACAAGTTCAGTGGCGCTGTTCCTTGCTACAATTGCAATACATTCATTAAAAACTTTACTTAGTGAAATTAAATAGTAGTAGTATATGAAATACTTTTGAGGCCTTATACTTTAAAAAGAAATATTACTCCCTCCGTTCCAATTTATGTGAACCTGTTTGACTGGGCACGGGGTAAGAAAAAATGAAGACTTTTGGAATTTGCGGTCTAAAACAAGTCAAAAAGGGGTCAGAGTATTTATGTGGTTATAAAAGTTTCTCATTAAGGGTAAATTGTAACTTTAAGCTAAATTATCACCAAATTTAGAAAGGGGTCATTCTTTTTGGAACGGACCAAAAAGGAAATAGGTTCACATAAACTGAAACAAAGGCAGTACTAGTATATATGTCTAGAAGTTTTTAATATAATCACCTGAAAGCCAACTGTATGTATTGATTTTGAAATGGACTTACCTTGAAATAATTCCCAACAGGGCAGGCATAGACAAGGAAAGTGTACTCAGGTGCTGGAGCCAAACCCAAGATTGGTCCACTCCCTATTAACAGAGGCCTTATATAAAGTGACCCTTTTCCAGGAGGAGGAATCTGCACATTTTCAATTTAAAAATTAATACCAACCAAATGATATAAATTAACAAATCCAAACCTAAACGGGATGACAGGTTTTGTTACTCCATCCGTAAATTGGAATCTTGAAAAGCTAAAAGTGTCATATAAATTAGAGGACAGAGGAAGTATAAATTTAAAGAGCAATAATATAATTACCCAACGCTTGTTAGCGAGAGCGGTTTGCTTAACAGCATCGACAAATTGATCAGTGGTAGGGGAAGCCATGCACATTCTTTCTGCACCAAACTGCATTCTGATTGCGTTCTGATGAGGGCGAAATAGAAATATCCGTCCGTCCTCTCTTCTATACGCTTTTGTACCTTCAAACAAACCCTGTTTTTTTGTGAGGTTACTTTACAAATGATTTGCCAATGTTGGCCAAATTTTAAATAATTTACCTGTCCATAGTTCAATACACCAGCAGAGGGGCTTAATTGGATATTTCCATAACGATTAAGCTCTCCTTGTGTAAAAACTCCATCTTCAGAGCTCTTTGTTACGTACATATAATCTGTTTGCATCAAATGGAATCCAAGATTATCCCAGTCAATATCCGCAGACTCGTCATCACTGAGATCACATCAACAAGTTAATTTGTAGAATTCAAATGTTGCTGACTCTGTTTTGAGTTGACTGCCTAATTTTTGCTAAAGTTAGAAAAATTCTAAGACTCATTCAAAGATATTTAGTTGCTGATATATATCAACTGTAGTTTACCTGTAAAATGCAGGCTGTGTTGCAGCCTGAGCTGTATAGTATCTTGCTGTAACCTGCAAATGCAATTAGAAAAAGTATGCGATCAAAACATATGGTATATTATTAACATCTATGAAAAAAAAAACAGAAAAAGGCAGGAAAATTGTTCCTCAATGGGGAAAATACTTAAATGGGGACCAAATTACGTACCAAAATTTAATTTTCCAAAGACTAATTAAGATAAAGGCAAAAAAAGAAAAGGTTATAAAGGTGTGTTTGTAATGAAACAAAAGATATGCTTAACAAAAAATAATTCATTTTCCGTCAATCAAACTCCAAAATATATTTTCCTTGAAAATATTTTCATTAAGAGGGAAAGACGACTTTCTTCGCCTATATTTTTTCTCCTATATAGTCCATTTTTAATCTTAAACAGTGTTGGATAGCGAGACAAAATTCCTTCTGAAAAACATTTCCGGATTCCACAAATATGCATAGAGCTTAAAGAACAGCATGTGAAGAGTAATTAAATGCATGACAAACCTTTGAAGATAAAGCTGAAGATTGATATAATTTACGAAAAATTGCAGCCCCTCGAATCATCTTTGCAGAAAGAAAATTAGTTTGAAATCTTCCCGCGAAGTTTCAAAAATTAGTTATAATAGGGAGCAAAGCAGAGGCAGATGGAAAAACTCTGCGTAAAGAATTAAAGAAATGAATGTACGATATCAATTAGTTAGTTCGTTGTGATTTTGATAAAGAGAAATGTGTGTTTATATAAGAGGAGAGAAGAGAAGAAAACGCCAAAAATTAGCAGAGATGCTTTGGTGGCGTCATAAGATATCAGCCCAAAAAAAAAGGGAAAACAAAAAGAAAGGGTCTAATGAAAGAGAAATGTTAATCCGTATTGTTTATCTGACACGAGTAACCAGGCTGTCAATCAAATCCTCCCTATTCCACTGTAATAGGAACTTTAAAAGTTGAGGGGAGGAGGGAGGCGAGATTGAAAAATATTTATTCACACTCAGTAGTTATACTAAATTGTAGCACTACTATTAGTTTAAAAGAAAGGCGGCCGGATGCACTGAGTTCCCGTTATGTACGGAAAGGTCGGACCATAAGGGTCTATCGTACACAGTTTTACCATGCATTTCTGTAAGAGGTTATTTCCACGGCTCGAACCCGTGATCTCGTGATCACATGATAACAACTTTACCCAGTTACGTCAAGGCTCCCTTTCTATACTACTACTAGTTAATTATAATTAAGTACTGTAATATATTGAGGTAAAATCATGGATATCAAGATACAATTCCTAGTCGAGATAGAAAAGAAAAAAAAGGTATAATTTTTTTTTTATTTGCGTAAGCTTTGGTATATTGGTGGGAGGTAACAAGTACCTTGTGATATATAGCCGAGGTGTGCGTAATAAACTAGCTCAAACATTAACATTGAAAAAAGACATTAGGTAATCAGGATTAAGTGATAGAAATATATGTAAAAGGCATATGTCATCTATTTATTAATTTGGTGAAAAAACCGAAAGAGGAATATATTTTTCTCAAAGCAATTTGGAAAGGTCGCTTATGGGGGCTAATTTAAACTTCTGATAAAAGAAAAAGAAGAAGAAAAGGAATAGTTTGCCATAACTCTCTCTAATTTAAGAATTTTTCTATAATGTGATAGAGATATACGAGTAAAAGATAACAAAGTTAAAATGGATACCTCTAATTCGATGATTAGCATCACCTTGCTTATGTCTAGTTGATTGTATGAAACCACTATGAGACGTGATAGATTAATTTGAATCTTTTTACCCTTAATAAGATATTTTGAGTTCGAATTATAAGATTCTTTTTTCCATGGAAATTAAGCAGTTTACCCCTCCTATTGTCTACTGCCCATGCAACCGAATTGAATTTATAAATTTCGAATATTGGACAGATAAAAAGCTGATTGACGACGAAATAAGCTGATAGTTACATTGAAGCGTTTTTGTTTTGACACATATAATTGTCTTCAAAATAGTTACGTAATTGCTGGATAATGCCATTTTATTAATTTCTACAACTGTTGGCCCAAGTGAAGGTTTGTTTTGAAGATTGATAAAGGACGCTCAAGCATGAACCAGGTCCATTCCTTGTATGCATAGACACGGGCAAATTCGAGCATGTGGGATGCACGTGAAGGAGATAAGCTTAACTTGGCATAATTGATATATCCTGATCAAAAAGGTTGCATAAGTGATAAGGAGAAGGACTGCTTGATCAAAGCGAACACTATCCAAGATACGGGAGGAGTTAGAAGCTGAGATCAACTAGAACTCTTTCACCAAGGAACAGTAGCATTAGAGCTCTAGTTATTTCTTAATCTACTAACTCTATATATTGCAGGATGTTCTCATTTTACAGGCATGCACAAGCGCAGAAGTTAAACGTGAATTGAGAGCAAAATAGCAAGGCATTTTGCAAGTAGTTCGTGTGTAATTTAAGTGTGCAAACCTGAAGCTACTTGAACCAGATAGAAGAACCAGTTCTAAGAGTCCGTCTTTTAGTCTAGTTCAATTGCAATTGGTGTTTTCATATTGTACCTTTTTGCTTTATTTAGAGGCAATTTTAATAGGTACCCAGAGTATTCAAGTTAGAGTTAACTTGAAATTGTCGCAACAATTAGAAGCTATTTGCACAACGGGATTAGAGTTAATCATTGATTTACAAAAGGTGTTTGTAAATGACGATTTTGGCTCGGTGATTTAATGGAGAGTTTGGGAAAATTCTACTGAGAAGTAGGTCGTGGTTTTTTCACCTTTTGAGCCAGGTGTTTTTCACGTAAAATACTTGTCTCCTTTACTTTCCGCATTTATTATTTCAGCAATAGTAGGTTAAGGAACACTTAGAAGAACCAGGTCCTTCCATAATCAGTTTAAGTGAAAAATTTGACACCACACAAATCACCCCCCCCCCCTCCCCCCCGCTTGTGTGGTATTGAAGTTAAAACATCACTTGGTACTACAGCGGGTTATCCTTGAAGAGGCTAACACCTTAGGAGAAGATCAAGATGAGTGCACCACCTGGAAATTGAAGGACAATCCACTGCTAGGCCACCACTTTTCAATGGCCAGTACTTACTCCTGGTTGAAAAACAGAATGAGAGACCTCATCATAGGAAAGGACTATAAGCTATAGGACATTATCACTTATGGTCCTCTGGCTACCATGAAGAAAAATGCTGAAGGAGTAGATTTGCCAAAAGCAAGAGCTGACTGCAATGCTGAGGACTTGATGAAATGGGAGAAGAATTCTAAGGCCAAGAAATGGCTTGTGTGTGACTTGGTCCACACGAGTACATCAAAAATTCAAAGTGGTACCACTGCTAAGGAAATTTGGGACACTTTGCAAGTGGCTCATGAAGGAACACCTTAAGTGAAGAGGTCTAGAGGAACACTACTATATTCTCAATATGAGAATTTCACCATGAAAGAAGGGGAAACCATCCAAGAGATGTATACTAGGTTCATCATACTGACAAATGAGCTTAAGTCTCTTGGAAGAATTATTTCTGAATAAGACAGAGTTGAGAAGATTTTGACAAGGGTTCTGCAAGTCACTTGGGAGAGCAAAATCACTGCCATTCAGGAATCAAAGAACATTGCCACTCTTAAGTTGGATGAGTTAATTGGAAATCTCATTGCTTATGAACTTAGAAGGAAAACCATGAAGATGGATGTACCCAAGAAGGAAAATAGCCTGGCACTCAGAATCACTGAAGGTTCTGAACTAGAAAATGATGAAATGGCTATGATCACAAAGGATTTCAAGAAGTACCTAATGAGAGGAAAGGGTCCTTCAAGAAGTGGAAGCTACAGTAAACCAAGGGTTCCTGAAAAACATACCGATGAGGGTTTCTACAAGTGTGGGAAGACTGATAACCACATTAAAAACTGCCCTCAATAGGAAATTGAATGGAAGAAGGAAAGAGCTGAATGAAGAAACAGGAAGAAGGAACAGGTTCGACCCAAGAAGAACAAATGATCAACAAAGGTTATGGTTGCTGCTTGGGGATAAAACACAGATAATGAAGATGGAGATGAACAAGCACTTATGGCCATTGGAGAATCTGATGAGGAATCTGAGGTAAGTGTAATTCATTTCAAAGACAAGATTAAATTTTTATCTAAAGAAAAGCTATCTGAGTTACTTCTAGATTTTACTGATGAATCTGAGGATGTAAATAATGAAAAGGAACGACTGTCTAAGGAATCTGTGATTTTGAAAGCAAAGTGTAAGAACCTGGAACTTAGGGTTAGTGAGATTGTAAGTGAAAATACTGCTTTAACGAACCAGGTTCATACACTTGAATCAAATGTCCTAGAACTTATATCTGAAAACCTAAAACTGAAATTAGAAACAAGTAAGAAGACAGTTAACTACACACAACTCACTCTAGAAGAAAATGTAGGTAAACTAAAAGATGAGTTATATAAGAAGGATGAGTAGGTAAGAATTTTGAAGAAGGATCTAGGCAAGGTCAAGCATGAACTAGACAGAACTTGTAAATGGAACAGGTCCTCCGATGCACTTTCATGGCTACAGGAACATCATAGTAGCAATAGAACAGTTTTTGGCCTTGGGAATCTTCCACCTAAAATGGGATCCCAAAAGCAAGTACCTTACACTTCTTGAGAACAAGATTTATACTCACTGTGGTAAAACTGGTGACTACAAAAGTGAATTCAATGCAAAAGAAAAGGCAAGCCGAAAGAACAAAGAATTTGTTCAAGGGAAGAATAAGCTACCAAGTTGGGCTAAAAAGAATTTGATTCATCCTTTTGCCTATAGAAAGGGACCCAAACTAGTTTGGATTCCTCAGATTAACCCCTGATTTTCTTTTGCAGGTCCAAGTGAAGGGGATCAGTCAAATCTGGTATATGGATAGTGGTTGCTCAAAGCATATGACAGGAAGCAAGAACCAGTTCCTTTTACTAGAGGACCTCAAAGGAGGTAATGTCTCCTTTGGAAATGGAAAGAAAGGTGAGATCATTGGGGTTGGAAAGGTAGGTAAGACGGATTCTCACTCTATGAAAATGTCTACTTGATAGATGGCTTAAAATACAGTCTAATCAGTGTATCACAACTGTGTGATAGAGGTAACTTGGTAGCATTCACCTCTACCAAATGTTTTGTGATAAATCTTATCACCGATAAGATTATTTTGTAGGGAAAAAGAGTAAATAATATTTATATTGTAGATCTGTCCACACTTTCAGAAAATGAACTCACTTGTTTAAGTGTGTTGGACAATGATCCCCTCCTTTGGCACAAGAGACTTGGACATGCAAGTCTGAGTTAACTCAACAAATTAGTTTCCAAGGACCTAGTGTTAGGGTTGCTTAACATCAAGTTCAAGGAAGACAAAGTTTGTGAGGCTTGTGCAAGGGGGAAGCAGGTATGATCCTCTTTTAAATTCAAGAAAATGATAAGTACCACCAGGACGATGGAACTGGTCCATATGGATCTCTGTGGTCCAATGAGAACTTTAAGCAGATGTGGTAAAAGATATGCGATGGTGCTTGTTGATGATTATTCTAGGTTTACTTGGATATTGTTTTTAACATCTAAGTATGAAGCATTTGACATGTTCACTTCTTTTGTTAGAAAAACTCAGGAACAACTAGGTAATCAACTTGTATCAATTAGGTCTGATCATGGCACTGAATTTGAAAATGCTAAATTTGCTAAATTTTGTGATGAGCATGGC